ATCTGAGTAAAAAAGGTGCCAGGATTGAGAAGTAGACTGGCAGTTACAGAATAGTCACAGGGATGTGAAGGCAGCATGGGGAAAATAGTCAATAATATTGTAATAACTATGTATGGTGTGAGGTGGGTACTAGAAATATCAGAGGGAACATTTTGTAAAAGTATATGATTGTCTAACCACTATGCTATACACCTGAAACTAATACAAAATAATATTGAATGTAAAAAATAAAAAGTGGTACCGCCCTGGCCAGGTAGCTCAGGTGGTTAGAGCATCCTCCCAATACGCCAAGGTTGTGAGTTCAATCCCTGGTCAGGACACATCCAAGAATCAACCACCGAATGCATAAATAAGTGGAACAGCAAATCAACTCTTCTCTCTCTCTCAAATCAATAAATTAAAAAAATATATTTTAAGTGGTACTGGGTAAGGGAAAATAAATAAGTAAATATTTTTAAAAGAACCATGACAAATCAGGATGTCAGATGTGTTTTGCTACAGTTTTGTAGGTCATTCTAAGCAGATAGATCAAGTGCACAGCTGCCAGAGGAGAAGGCTGACACCCAGGAAGGCTTCTATGCACCAGGATAGACTTCAAACTACACCTTCCCACATAAAAGCAAAATTTACCTGGGTCATAACAATAAGGGAACACAGAAGCGGGAAAAGTGTTAAGTAATCATCTAATACATGTTTGTTTTTCTGAATTTCTGAAAAAATATTAGGCTAAGCTTGGGTTGGGAGAACTTTAGCCCTGTCGTGTTTTCATCAGACTTCATGCTGTCATCTCAAACTGTAACAATCACAATGATGATAATGATGATGATGAAAAAGAAAAATGCTCAAATTATACATTTAAATCCCAAGTCCTTTAGTGTTGCCACTATGCAAATATTATAATCCATGGATGAAGTAATCGATGGTGTATTGGCAGAAGGAAAAAAGAGTCCTAGATTCTATTTCCATAAAACCCTGTTAAGTGTCCCACTTAAGTAAACCAAGGCTCTGGCTTCATTAATCATCTGTTATTTTCATTTAGTTTTCTAGTGATCAGTTCCATTCAGCTGATAAAGTAATTCAGGTAAATGGAGCTCTAAGACTATTTCTTTCCTGCGCCTCTCCAATCAGATTCTCCTTTCTAATTCCTTCTTGCATGGAAATTCTGGAGTGCCCTCCGATTGTCATGTAAACTATGTGCTTGTCCTCCCCACAGATCCTCCCACTATCACAGAATCCAAGAGCAACGAAGCCCCCACAGGGCGACAAGCTTCACTCAAATGTGAGGCCTCGGCAGTGCCTGCGCCTGACTTTGAGTGGTACCGGGATGACACCAGGTATGTATGTGTTCAACCTGCTGTGCCCCAGTTACTCTGATAAGTGGTCCTAGGGGCACCAGAAGCCTTAACGACAAAAACAAGCCCAACTATAACTCCATAGGCCTATGCTCTTTATTTTCCTAATCTCGTTATCAAGTGCATTAGGGACTGTAATTCTTAACCGGATGCTTCAGAGCACTCGGGTTACCTGCAGGGAGGGAGGGAGGTGTTCCAGTGAGTAGTTCCCACCTGCATGTCTTCCTTGCTTATAGCAGAAGCCAAGGCCCAATGGAACTCACCCATTCCTGAGTCTTCTCTGTGGATGGACGTTGATTCAGATGCTGTGGAATTGCCCAATTAAAATGAGGAAGTGAGCAGGGAGCAACAAACTCTACCCACCTCCTCTCTCCTCTTTCCTTCCAATATAATGATGAAAAGGGAATTACTATGCCGAGTCTTCATCAGTGTTTCTGTTTACTCTTCTGTTTTTGAACTCTTAGGATAAACAGTGCCAATGGCCTTGAGATTAAGAGCACGGAGGGCCAGTCCTCCCTGACAGTGACCAACGTCACTGAGGAGCACTATGGCAACTATACCTGCGTGGCTGCCAACAAGCTGGGGGTCACCAATGCCAGCCTAGTCCTTTTCAGTAAGTATGCCAAAGTAGGCTCCATCTGGGAGCAGCTAGTTGGTTGAATTCTCCCATGGAAAGCTTAAAAATAATTTCCTTATTTATTAAAGGTAAATTTATACAAAAATCAGACTATAGTCACTGAAACAAAAATACAGGTTCTCAATCTCTAAGCATAAGGCAAGTTTACAGATGGAATAACTTCTCTCTCTTTCCCCTGGCTTACTTTTGATAGCTGCCTTGTTTTTGTTTGTTCAGAAAACAAGTATCTCTTTGGTGGTGATCTCTTTAAGGAGTGAAGGTTATGTAACATCCTAGAGAATAGGGGACAGTTAGAAAATTGCAGTGATGAGAGTGATTAAGTGATTAATAAGCACTGAGGATGGATTAGGTGCTGGGGGAAGAGAGAGGCTGGAAAAAGAAAGTGTATTCTTAACAGCATGAGGAAAAATGGAATGAATGATTAAAACAATTTAAAATCTAAAGAAGGGAAAATGGTTGCAGACAGGTTTCCATAGGACAGCAGGAAACATTGCTCCCCTGATGATTTTTAGAAGACAAATGGAATGGTAGGAGAGAGGGGTATTTCTGAAGGCCAGAGAAGAGCCTAAAGGCAGACTAGAGAGGAATCAGTCATGGTAAGTTATTGGCATTAGGAGGAGATCCCACCTTGGAGCCTTGCTCTGTGGCAGCACATTACAGTCAGGTATCTCCCTGACTTGTTGGCTGGTGGCTCTCAGCATAGAAGCAAATGTTCCCTGAGAAACAGAGGTCTGATGGGTGAGATCATAGACCATGATAACATTTGGAATAAGGAAGTGTTTATCAGAATAAGTAAAACAAACAAAAATGTTCGCACATGCTGGGCCAGAAAGTTAATTTGCACTAAAAGAGAAAGTCCAAAGAATTAACTATTATTTAGAAGAACAAGCTACTAGGAGGGTTTTGTGGGGGTGTTTTTTAACACAGGTTCAATTGGAAAATCTAGAGATACTACGGTCAGGAGAGATGTCTCCATCTTACTTTATACAGTTTAGAGGAGCCTTCAAGAAAAAAAATATTTTTAGGAGAAAAATCAATTTAAGTGAGAGTTCTCTTGAAATGTAGTTTCAAAAGTCATTTTAAAACAGCTCAAAATCCAACTCTACTTATAAGAAGCAACAACCACAAACGATTCTCATTCATAACTCCCACTGACATCAGTCTTTAAGAGTTTGATGGGATATAGCTCTACAAATGCTGCGTCAATATGAAGTATAGAATTCATTTCCCTCTTTCCTTGTCTCTAAAAATCAAACATCAATGTTCTTTACTTCAGATGTAGACATCAAGACCTCAAGATGCTTGAGAAGACATTGGTTAAGAAATGTAGTTACCTGTTTCATTTTTGACTTTAGGAATTCCATAAATAGCGGGGGGTGGGCATAGCCTCAATGATGAATTTGAGATTCTGGCAAGTCTAGGGTGACCTGGTTAAATAGAACAACATATACTTAACAAGAGGTTTTACAGAGATTGGAAAAGAAGAAATTGGACAATTGGATTAGAGAACGTGAGCAACTATAAATTTGCATTAAAGTATCTTTTCTTCCTATCCCACTCAGAAGTGTACTAATAATATATTTCAAGTAATAAGTAAAATGATAGCTATAGGCAGAGAGAGGAAGGGGTCGGAGGAAGGAAGGATGGCATACTTGAGGAGGGTGCAGAGAGCAGGGGCTGGGTCAGAGACAATGGAGATATTGTTAGTCTGCTGTTGGTGATGAAAGGTAATCTCAAGTCCCATAATAGCATCACCCTGTTCACAGAAGTCAATTTAAAGGACTTTTAGAATTAAGCAAAATTAAGAAATGGCCAGTGAGATGTCAAGAATCCTACAGAATTTCTATTTGTAGACTGAGAATCAAGGAATTGGGCAAGTGTGTCATAATCATATTGGCCTTGATGATTTCACAGCCATCCCCTCAGTGACCTTGGTGAGAAGTGCACAGTGCTGCAGGGAACGATGCAGTGCCTCTCAGTGGGCCCGCGTGCCCTCTGCCGAGCAGCCCACACAGGCCCGAGCTCTGAATGGAGCCCCACGGAGAGGCTGCATGGGCAGAGACACTCGGTTTCGCACTGATTTCCCACCTGAGGGGAAAGTTAGGCGGTGTGATACAAAAGAATAGAATAAGAAAGGTCATTAGGCTTTGAGGTGAAAAGAAACTATTAAAATTGCCAAAATTCTACTGCCCTGTTTCCTAGATGCAAGGCCTAAATGTGGGCATTTTAAAGGGGAAGCTCTGCTTATACAACAGGAATGACACTTCCACCAAGCCCACCCCCACCACCACTCAGGCTTCTGAGGTGCATCGCTGCAGCCTTCCTAGGGAAATCCTTGGGAACCCAGCCCTATGGCAGCCTATTTCACCCAGGAAAGAAAGAAAAAGAGAGGGGGGAGAGAGGGGGGGAAGGGGTGGGGAGACAGAGAGGGAGGAAGGGAAGAAGGGAAAAAGCACATCTGTGAACAGACTGCCCATCACTCAGGTTCAAAGTAGGTAGAGGGGTTTAAGGGGAAGGAGGAGGACACTGTTGGTGGTACTTTTCCGAAGAACAGGGTCAGGAGGGGAGCGACGCTTGGGGGGCGGCTGCGGCGGGGCTGGCCGCGCTGACGGAGCATGGCGTGGGCAGCGGGTGCGCTGCTGACCCAGCCAGTCCAGAGCAGATGAAGCAGCTGGCGAGCTGCTGCCAGCCGGGCAGCAGCAGGTAGGAGCCGGAGCCAGAGCCCTGTAGGGTTCAGGATTATCCATCTTCATCGGTGCATCAGCACATTTTCAGCGGCCGCCTCAGTGACCTGGGCTGACTTTTTGCACAGTGTCAGTTTGAGGTCACTGATACATATTGCCCTTTACCCTACACATACATATACTTCCCCGCTCTGTATTCAAATATCGCTCTCCACAGGGCTCAAAATAATGGAATGAGAAGGCAAGAATACATTGCACTCACAGGAACGTTTTCCTGGGCCAATGGAAGCTTTCCTTTCTCCTGTGTTTTGCTTTCCACACCTTCTAGCATTCTATTTGTCAAGGAGCCTTACTACCTCAGCCTGTAGATCCAAGTAATGCCTGTTATATTGTTTTCTTCATCATGAGCAAAGCATTCCATGTGATAATTTTTCTGAACACATTAAGCCACTGGTTCGATGTGTATGGGCAAGGATTCAGCTCCTTCGTCTTTGTCAGATGGGGGAATATGTATCACCTGGGTGAAACTTGGATTCCGATGATGCCATGAGAGGCCCATCATCAGCGTGTGTAGAGTGATAGGTTCCATGTTTCCACACTGATGACTGCAATGCACCCACAAAGGAACACTACCTTGTTTCAGGGCTTACATTGAGTTACTTTTAAAGAAACAAAGAGGGAGGAAGAATAATGATTTTAATGTCATTACTTATCAAGTGTGTGCTTACAAGGTACTCTGCACATGTGCTAAACACTTAACATACATGATTTCATTCAATCATCAAGACTACCCTATTAGGTACTCCTATGTCTCCATTATACAAAGTGGTTAAGTAAGGACAACCAAGTAAGGCTGTTGGGATTTAAATTCATAAAATCTGTTTCCAGAGTCCAGGCTGTAGACCAACATATTATCTAGATTTGTGTCTGTGGGGGAACGTTAGGAGATGTGTCTTCTGTTGTTTGGAGATGCAGAGACTTGTAATTTCTTTCTCCGTTTTTCACTTAACGAGGTCTTTCCACTACTGTTAGATCCCTTCCACCCAGGAACGCTGCTTCTGCCACATTCCACCCCCATTCCCATCCATTCCCACCAGCCTGGATCCAAGGGTTAGACCGCTGGCTTTTCTTTGGCATCTTGAGATTCCAAATTGCTGTTTCAGCCTCGTGGTCAGTGCTTGACCCTTGAGGGGAATAGTCCCACATGTTAAAGAAGGACAGTCCCACTGCTCAAGGTATGGATTGGCAAGCTACTTTACTGCAGTGTTTGAGGCTACCGAGTACAAAAGAATAAAAATACAAAGAAATCTATACTGAGCCATACCCCATCAGTGAGTGGGAGGTTTTCAAATTTTCTTTTTAATTTTAAAAGATTATTAACTTGGAAACCTACACTCAATTAAATCTCAAGTACTACCCAAGCAACCCAGCCGTGGAGAGAGCCCTCAAAATGCAGGCCTCCCCCGCTTCCTTAGAAACGATTTAAAGTTACTCTCCTAGGGGCCCAGTGTTTAAATACACACCGTTTGATGATGCTGGTTAAGATGTGGCAAAGCCTCCTAGCCAGCTACTCCTGGATGCCGCATAACAAACCAGTTCGAGCAGCTACTTGAACCCTGCCCATGTCGTTTGAAAGACTGGCTGTGAACTGCTTATTAAGGCTCTGGATACAGTGGAAAAGAGATGGAAAGCCAGCTCTAGTTTTAAGACGAGGCGTCTAATATGCTGACTTCCCGAAAGACTGCTGGGATCTACCATAAGCATTGGAAATGAAAAGACAGTCATATTGGAGTTAATAAGTTACCTCTACATATATACCCAACCCTCAACTCCAGCTTTTGTCTTTTAGATGCTTTTAATGTAGAGGGTTCTCTCATGAGGTGAGAATGCCCGTGTAACTGTTTCTCATGGTGTCCCAGCAGAATCAGCCAGTAACACCCCACACCTTCATTTAGCAGACAAGAAGCTGAAGCTCAGAGTTAAGGGGGTTACTAAGAGCCGCACAATGTAACTGGGGTTGGCCTTAGAGTTCTGCTCCTCAAACCTCCCAGTCAATTGCTAAGCTCGGTTGACCTCAGGTACAGGCAAACCTCGGAAATATTGCATGCTCACGTCCAGACCACCGCAATAAAGCAAGTATTGCAATAAAGCAAGATGATCTTTTTTCTGCTGGGGGAGCTTACCTTCAATTTGTAAAAAAATGCAACATCTGTGGAGTCCTATAAAAAGAGATGCAGTAAAACGAGGTATGCCTGTGGTAGCAGCCAAAAGACAAAGTACATAGCACATAGA